GATCGCGAACATTAGCAATTGCACGCGTTTATCAAGGATGTGATTATTTTAGAATGGCTTAGCATTTTTAAAGTAGTATTTACATAAATAGTTATAATTAGAATTCGATAATTAAAGTTGAACTCTTATGGCCTTATTCATAAAAAGTAGAATAGGTTTAAGGAGCTCTATAAAGTGACATTTTCATACAAATTTTCGACAAAGCAGTTAAAGTCTTTTTTAGTTTTTATATTTAGCTATTAGTAAATAATATTGTAATCTTTATAAACAACTTAAAAACACTTCGAAATTATACGTACTATAGAAAAAAATCTGTTATTGTTACTTAATTTAATTCATGTATTTAGCTAAGGAGTATTAATAATTTATTTAAAGACACATACACATAAGTAAATTAATTTCAAAACAATGCAACTGCTGTAAATATAACTACCCAGTGGGAAAATGTAATGTATTGTGATCGAAAAAATAATCAGTAAAACAGCCGATTTTACATTCGAAAATGCATTGTTTTTCCCACGGCGATGTCCTAGCAAAAGTGTGGCATTCAATTTTGCATTACGAGTAATGCAGGAATGAATGCGGTTTATTTAATATGAATTTTTGACGACTTTTTGGATACATTAGAATTCCGATTACATAGTTGACAGTAATAGAATCTAGAACTCCTAAGAAATACATTACATTATTTATCACGCATGTAATGCATTACCACTTTTCCCACTGGGTATGTAAATGTGCACTGTTGCAAAAAATAACTGCATAACTGGTGCGTACTTTTTGATTTTTAATTTGTTTAATACTGGAAAAAGGTCTATTTTAAGTTCAAATTTTTTATTTTATTTATATAAATTACGTATAATAATGTATGTATGCTTTAGTCATAATTTGTCTGCATATATTTTTTATATCTTTGAACACTCTAATTACTCGTATAACCACACAACACTTTTTTGTAATCAATAATTTTGAACACACTACTACAGACTAGTATATATGTATGTATATGCAGTAAGATTGTGCCACACACAACTTCTTTATCTCTGTTTCTATCTCTGTCTGTCTACATACCGTACATATGTAAATACTTACATGTCTCTTGTAATGGCAAACTACTGATTGATGATTCAACGCATGAATTCCAAACTGAACCTTTGCAGGCACTTTTGGCGGACACATACTCCATACGCGATACTAAAGTACAAGAAAATGGAAAAGTGAGTAATTTTTAAAGACGCGACACCTAAACAATAGCGTGTATAGAACTACATAAATTTATACATAAAAACATAAAAACAAAAAAAAATATTCATGTTGTGGGAAACAATAAACGAAATATGTTATTTGTATTTTCTTTTTTACTTTTTAAATATTTAGGCAAAATTATACTTAAATTTCATTACTTTGCTTTTCATACACAATTAATTGGATTAGGGGTGTCCTTGAAGCGAAACTGTTATTAAAAATAAAATATAAAAATATTCTGTATAGCTAAACATTTAAATATGTATGGGCACCCCTAATGCATACATGCAAGGGAACATTCCACATAAATGTGCACTTAAATTTTTCTAAAACGCAATATGTTTTTCACTTCAAGTCTTCATATAAAAAAAAGTAATTGGCCATTCATCGGTTTATGGTTCCAGCACTAAATCATCATAGACATACTCGCATTTCTAGTAATAAATTTTAAAACTGTAAACATCAAGCCAAATATGCATTCCGTACATACATATTTATATTAGGATGGTCCATTTTCTTTTAACCACCTCCCGGAACTGAAGAATACTGAAAATATTGATTTATTTTTAGGAAAAAAGGGAAAAAGCAACAAAGTGTAAGCGGAGAAGTTGTGCAACAAGTAAAGACGTCAAAGTTTTTGCGAAGCCGAACATTAAATACCCGATGTACGTGTTAAATATGGTTTTTTGGCCTTTCTGAAAACCAAGAACTGATAACACTTTCCAACACAAAATGTAATGCGGAGAACGTTCCCGTTCGCTATCAGACTGTTCCTGAGACTTATGTTCCCAATTTGTTCTTCGAGAGAACGTTTGAGAATAGTGTGCCCGATTTGCTCCGGAGATTTTTTTATACATTTTCCTCGCTTAGAAACGTTCCCCCGGGTTTTGTTCTTATATGATTCCTGTTGATAACTTTCTCGGCAGCTTAGTTTTTACTTTCGTTCTTGCGAAATCATTCCCGAAAGTTTTGTTCTCATTTCGGTTTAGATTTTCAAGCGTTCTTAGGAACTAAAGTAAATGCCTCCTAAAACGAAACTTTTACTTCAAATTTTAACTTTCAAACGTTTGAATTAGGGCTGTGCGATTAATTGATTATAAAAATTTAAATTAATCATATTAAATAACTCCATTATTCGACTAATTGGAAATTGTGAATCAGTTAGTTACCCGCGTAACCAAGATTTTGATCAACTAAAATCTCAAGTATTGGAGTAATTTGCCTTATGACTAATCAACATTATAAGTAAAATAAGTAATCAAATTTTCAATATATGTTACATAGATATAAAGAGAAGAAGTTCCTGGAAATTTGAATACGACACTTCTTTTTTTCAGAAATTAGAATCAAATATTTTTTCATAAACACTTTGTAAAAAGGAAGCTAAGCATTTCCAGAAGCAAACTCTTTTAACGAGCAAAATCAATTTTTTTGAGTAATCATATTTTAACTAACTCGATTAATCATCGTTTTGAGGAATAAAAATCTTGATTGCTCGAGTAATTGATTTACCGAACAACCGATTAACCAACTTGCTCGACTAATCGAATAATCGCACAGCCCTAGTTTGAACTTTTTAAAATTGTTTGATTTATTAAAAATATTTGTTTTTGTATGAAGACATATTGGACACACTACTTGTATATACATAACTATCTCGATCCTTCAGAGTGTTGCAAAAAACCGTTATGCGAACAAAGTTATAATATCTTGGTGCTCAAGTACGCTCCGGTATAAAAATACGGGTCTCCTTATTTTCGGTATTCTTCAGTTCGGAGGGATGGCCGCTGGAAAATTGGAAAAAAAAAAACAATTAATCTGTGCAATTTGGACCACATCATATTAAATTGATTTGACATACTATACATTTAAGAAACAAAACCAAATTCTTAAATCAAATAAAAGTATTTAGCAAAGTCGAGTTTTTCCCTACTTCTTAGACTGATCACAGTACTTAATCAATAGCGAACGCACGTGTGAATTAGTTATGTGCTGTCCAACAACTACATAAGTAAGGTTTCACGCCACTCCTTCGTACATTCTACACACCATGCACAATCTCCAGTCGATTCCATTCTTAATCCAGTCCAAGAGTACTTATCTAACTAAGTGCATATACAAATATGTTCCTCACAGTAAATTAGCCATCTAAGTGACTGCATTTAACGAATTTTTTACACTTTTCACCACACGTTTGTAATATTGTACACACATGTAACTTCACTACCTACTCCATTCACAAATATCACAACCAAGCCAGTTAGTCTACAACTTAATCGAATCGAATATTTTTAACCTACACATTTTATACCTGTCTGTTTAATATCTAATAAAAATTTGCAACAGTTAACTCCTTTCCTTAAGTAATTCACCATTTTTTAACAAAAAAAAAAAGTAGAAAAAATATTTACATTAATTTCAGGTCGATCTCACTGCTGGTGCTCTTGGTGAACCCTCTAAAGTTAGTTATTATTTAATAAACTTTAAAAATATTTCTTGTGATTTTTTTTTTGTTTTGAAGCAATATGAGGAAGAAAAGTGCTTTAAGCTTGCTGCATTTGTTAAAAGTTTGATGCATTACAAAGAGCATTTATTACTTGTTCATTTCATAAACATGCCGACACATGCATCGATAATTTGTAGTTAAGCGGTTTGAGAATTAAAGGACTTCATAAGATTTTATTTTACTTTATGGGCTTATGTACCTTTATTATTGTTATTTAAGCAGCAATGTGCGAAAAGACAACAAATTTTTAGTATTTTTATCCGTTAAACAAGTAAAGTAGTCCGTAATAATGTCTTCCCGAATTAATTAATTTCATGTACAGTTAATCACAGAAGTATTCTTTGTTTGATTTTTCCACAATTTCAAAATGTATTCCATTGTACATTTTTTTCGTTAGTTTTTATTCAAAATATTGCTCATTTTATAAAACAAACATATAAATCAATGTTGCAAGCCTTCTGTAATACTCGAAAAAATTATGCGAATTTCAAAAAATGGCCATCAAAATTTCAAATTTTTAATCAGATTTTTTAGATTTTTTTTTAGTATAGTTTTGTGGCCCATTCAATTTCACACCGATATAGTGTGAGTTTTAAGTGGCTAGGACTTACCGTTGATTTTTGATAATTTTTTTCACCCTTTGTGATCCACGCAATGCATGAACAAAATTTGTTTTTTTAATTTTAATCAAAAAATTTATTGAAGAGTTAAATTTTGATGACAATTTTTTGAAATTCGCAGGCTTTTTGCGAATTTTCTAGAAAGTTAACAACATTGATTTATATAATTTTGTTATAGAATGAGCTATGTTTTAAATAAAACTTAACGAAAATTATTTATAATGGAAGACATTTGAAATGTTGTGAAAAGCTACTTCGGTAAGTAACTGGAAATGAAATAAAGTTTACATAATCTTCAATTTTTTTTTATAGAGATGAGATGTGAAAGGAGTATTATTAAATAGAAGGTGAATTTAAAAATCAAAAGAAGTTTTCTCATAAGGGGTTTTCTGTGCGAAATATATAATACATATATGGGGTATTCACAACGGTGTTGTAAGTGTCGTAAACTTTTAACGCCCAAAAATCACATTGAGGGGTTTCGCAAATCACCATCAAAGTCATATTATGAATTTTCGCAGTGTTAAAAAATAGTTGGTGGGGTTTTCAAGATTTCTGAACATTTATTTAGGCTTTTAAGGTTTACGACATACAACAATATGACACTTACGACACTGTTGTGAATCCCTCAACAGAGTCTTACGTGACAGTATGTCACTTATCCATATAAAGGCCAAAGAAGTTGCTTTTCGAAAATTTAAGGTTTGTAACATTCGGCATGCCAGAGATCTGCTATGGGTATTTAAGTACCCAATAGGCTATTATGTTCCGAGTGTACGTGCAATTTTTTATCAATGGCATCAAAAATAAGAAGTTTTGCGAAGTGAAAGCAAACGAAATTGCAAAGTATCGGACGTGTTGATATTTTATAAAAAAAATGCATGCTGACTAGTGAAGAAGACGTTAAGAAAAAAAAGTGTTTGACTTGTAAGAAGCTACAGGCAGAATTGGATAGTTGGAGAGTTTAGGAAGATGCTGACAAAATAAATGTTAATATCATGCCGCCAGACGATGTTGATGCTATTGAAGAATTGGACGACAATATCCAATGCGTAGTAGCAGGCAACATTCAAGTGGAATATATCGTTAATAACGACTATCCTATTTTGGATAAAAGTCTTGAAAACGACGAAACCATAAGTTTGCAGCCATCTTCGTGCCGAAATAGCTCGCAAAAATCGCGTGGAGTTGCCGGCAAAATTACAAGTTTGCAAAACAATCTCTCGAAAACAGAGCAAATGCAAACATACACAGATATATGTAGCTAATATAAGAAAAAATATAAACATTTGTTTAAAGACTTATGGCCTCATTGATAAGAAATAAAATTGATTTGAAGAACTTTATAAAGTGACATTTTCATAACAATTTTCGATTGGTAAAGCAGTTAAAATCTTCTTTATTTTTTATGAATTTGGGTGTTATATTATAAGGAGCTTTTCATAATAATTTTAAGTCTTCAAAGACTTTTATTTTGAAGCTTATAGCGGGCGATTAGTTTTAAATAAAACACAACCAGATATCGGAATCTTTATTATTACCCGAAAGAGCAATGTCTAATGCTGACCGCAGACAGAACATAACCGTCCCATGGACCCACCTACAGCGTAGTCGGGCAAACATTCGAATTTTTTTTTTTTTTTTAAGTAAATGTCAGAGAATGTTCTTTCGGGTAATAATAAAGACTCCGACGTCCAGTTCTGTTTTAAGTGTTTTATTTAAAATTAAAAATAAAGTCTAAATGGATCACCCTAAAAGTTTCTTCATAATAATTATGAGTGAGTAAAAATTGTTCAAGACTTACAGGACGGGGCTTGTTCAGTATGATTTCGGGATTAGTTCGGGACTAGTTTGGGATAACTTTGATGCAGGCCAGTTTGGGGCTGGTTTGAGACTACTTTGCGTCTAGTTCGGGACAAGTTCACGACTAGTTGTTCATAGTAGTGAGTTCCAAAAAGGTTTTTCTTTTCATAAAAAAAGCTAAGTAAACTTGTTAGCACAAAAGTTTGAGTAATTAAATTAAGAATTTACACACTCGTGCCTGTGGCGTGTACAAATACCTACGTGAGGATATTTGGCTCCAGGATCCAAGGGGGTTGAGAAAAGGACAATATGTTTTCGCAAATGAAAACAGAGATGCTGGAGAGAAACTGTTTTCAATTAGTCTCCCCAGCATTTCCTATTTTCTAGCTTACTATAAAGTTTTTAAATAAAGTTTTTCATTTTTTGAAATCTCTCGCCTTTGACCTTAAGAAAGAACACCTACTAATTATAATTTCGTCTTACTTTATGGAGATAGTAGATTGTTTCATCTCTTTCCACGATCTGAATTAAAATTCAAATTAATATCTATCACGGCTTCCGAGATATGCTCTTTTGCGTGAACTTTGTTTTATGGGTATTTAAATACCCACTAGGCAGTAATGGGTTAACATTATGCATGGTTGTGAAACGAAATGTTTCCAATTCATTTCCAGAATTAAACATCAAACATAATTTGTCAACCCTTTTTGTATTTTTTTTTTAGAAATAAAATATGTAATATTTATTTGGTAGCAGTTAATTTGCTACACATTTTCAATAAAGAAAAGTCATTGTCAATATAATCAATAATATAAAATACTTTAATTCCTCAAAGTGCCGAAACAATGGGATAATACGTACGTTCATATTCAGCTTTGGTGCGAAAGCAATTTTAAGTTAAAAATTGTGTTTTTTTTTTTTATTTGACTATATTATGGAAGCTGCCGGAATGGATAAAACTATTTTTAACTAAAATTTCAAGAGTGGTGCTTTCTCCAAAGTCAGTTTATCTTATCACGAATACTAATCAGCTCAAAACTTTTCCTTCAATATTGATTATAGCCTTAGTCCAGAAGGTTGAGATTGAGGAATATGCCTTGGATTGAGAATCAGGCTCGCTAAAACATCCATACTTCTGAACCAAACTAACAAAATTTCACGAATTTCACTCTTACTTTAATTTGAAGTGAATTTTATCATGGTGACATGTATAGAAGTGGGGTATTTTGGTGCCAGGTAACAAGATCAACGGAAATAAGGTCAATTGACACTGTTTCGCATACTGATGCGAAAAAAAAGTCAATTAACATTATTTGCCAAAGCGAAATAAAATCCATTGACATTGTTGCTCTTTCAAATAATAAATTTGCGTAGCTTCGCGGCGGCTCGCGTCCGCGCGCCTTGATGATGGGCGAAGCATCAATCTAGATTCGATTTTCTTGGGTACACGATAAACTCCCAAGGGTGCGCTTCACCAACTAATCGGGTTACTATCGTTAACAATACAAGCAACCACCATTGAGACCATTAAAGATCTTCGAAGGTTTCTAGGTATAATTAATTATTACCGAAGATGCTCGCTCAACTTCAGGCTCCACTAAATGAATTTTTGCGTGACTCTAAGAAAAAGGATAAAAGAAAAAAGGATTTGGACACCAAATTCGGTTAAAGCCTTCGAAACATGCAAATGTCGTACGTCTGGCACACCCAGGAAGCAACGCGTCTCTTGCTTTGTCCTGCGGAGCTTCCGATGTAGCCATTGGCTCCCTTTTCTGGTTTTTTTTTTCTCGTAAGTTATCACCGACTGAAAAAATATAGTACTTATGACCGTGTACTTCTTGTTATTTTGAGACCATAAAATACTTTCACCATATTCGCGAGGCTCAGCAGTTCATCATTAAAACCGACTACAACCCTCTCGTATACGTCTTTGCACAAAAACTAGACAAAGCATCGCCTCGCTAACCGCGCCAGCTGAACAGATGCTGAATAAAGGAGCTATTGAAAGACAACAATTCTCTAATACTACAACAAAAATATTGTGATGAGAAAACAGGAATCTACTGTGACATATCTACAGGTAATGATCGACCTTATATACAAAAAAAAAAAACAATCTCACCCAAGTTCACGATCAACACTCCGTCAAATGCGCTCCAAATATGTGTGGCCAGAAATAACCAAAGACGTGGCATCTTTAGCCAGAAGCTGCGTACGATGTCAACAAGCCAAAATTCACAGCCATATTCATTTTCAGCCCATAAAAATTCAGATGCCCAGCAATCGATTTTACCACATACATCATTTGGATCTCGTTGTTCTTCCTCCTGACAGGGGATATCGTTACTGTTTAACGATGATTGACAGGTTCTATCGATGGTCGGAGACTGTACCGCTACGCAATATGACAGCAGACACAATGGCGCAAGCATTTTGGACTTACTGGATTGCTCGCTTTGGATGTCCTAAGTCAATTACCACTGATTAGGGAATACAATTCGAGTCAGCGCTTTTTAATACGTTAGCGAAACTCGTTGGTTGGGAATATATTCACACCAGCGCGTATCAACAAGCTAGCGGAATGGTCGAACGTTGGCACAGAACATGCAAAGCTTCAAAGAGGATGTATTGGTTTATGGAACTAATCTACGTCTACCCTATGATTTTTTCGACAGCAAAGGTACTACAAATGATCGTCATCGGTTCATCAACAAGATAAGACGGCACATGCATTCTCTACGTCCATTTACTCCTACTCATCATAGCAAAAGGTAACCTTTTCTTGCGAAAAATATTACTGACTGCTCTCACGCATTTCTCAGAACGGACTCAGTGCGAGCTCCTTTAGAACCACCCTATCCTGGGCCATACATGGTAACAGCCAGGCCATCAGATCGAGTATTTACACTCAAAATAGGCGAGAAAGAAGTAAACGTCTCCACTGAACGTATAAAACCCGCGTTCATTTTCACCGAAGCCGATACTTCATCGCAGCCGCGTAGCAGCGGTTCGTACTCGTCATCATGATAAAATTATGCACTTGGAAATTAGGGAGGGAGTAGCTGTGGCAACCACGAAACACCTGAATTGTTGGCAACCCTTACCTTTTGACGTTTCCCTTATTCTATTTATTCTTATATTCCTTGATTCTGATGTTTTCTCTATACAAAAGGTAACCGAGTTTAAGTCGAATAAATGGATTCATCACAACTCGTTTATGGAACATTTTCCAAATAGCTTTAACTTGTAAGGTCATCTAGTAAAGTAAAACGAAAACCCTAATGTCACATCCTTGGGCTTATGCGAGAATATGCTGATTAATGAAATGCATTGAAGTTAATTTATGTCAGTCAAGATTTTTACTTAGTGTAAACAAAGCTTCAGTTCTGCATATAAACTAAGCATAAATTTTATGAATGCATTGCCATATTTACCTATAAGTAGATGCAAAAAAAAAAAACAAACATAATCTCATCAACTTCGCTATAAATTCATTCATACAAACATACGTACATACATATGTATATGCTTGTATATACATATTTTGCTTGCTTATGCGTATTTCTGCTAATTACTTTAAATTTCCTGAAAATCCTGCTACACTAATACCACCGCAAATCTCATCTAATGCTATTAGTATGTTGTTTTATGATATATATAGAATTGAAACAAAAAAAACATTCTTAAATGCCTACTCACACCTGCTATTCATGCATTGCTCTATAAACATACATACATGTACATAAGTTAATATAAGCACTGAGTAAGCTTGCAAAATCACGCATTTTGATTGCTGCAAACACATTAATCCTACAAATAAATATTAATGTAGTTTGTTGTGCTCGCAATCCACGCACCATTCTTTTTTTTACATTATTTCTTGCTAGTCAAACTCACCTCAATCGATCTCTAGTCGAATAATGAATGAAAAGCTTGTTTTATGATTGCTCTTTTTATTGTTAAAAAAAATAAATAAAAATAAATTGAATAAAGTACTTAACAACCGAAGCACTAAAGGAATGTTTTTGCACAAAATCGATTTTTAAACTGTACTTTGTAAATAATTTACATTTATTTTAAAAGTGCTAATACCTATGATTAGTGTTTTGTTTTTCTTCTTAAACTTACAGATTATTTGCATTTGAACTAATTGTATAACATTTTCTTTACTTTTCTACGAAAACTCACCGCAAAAGGTTTCACTCACCGATTCTGATCCATTGCAATTTCGAGATATTTTTAATTTGGGCGATTATGAGTTGAAACAACATCAACCGCTGCGACTGAAGAAAAAATTCTATGAATTTTATACGGCGCCCATTACGAAATTCTGGGCAGATTCGGTAAGTTATATTGATCATTTGGTGTTTATTGGTATTTATATGAGAGCTATGAGCAGAGCATTTTTTATTTTTATTTTTACATGTCTTTAAAAAACCTAACATTTGATAGAGCCATGGTCCGGCCAGACCTTGTTTTGCACCAAGAAAAATAAAAGAATTACCTTTTTTTTTGAAAAATTAGGTTTTATTAATCACAAGGGCAGTGCTTTCTTTAATCGATTGCTGCATTTGAAATTAGTTGTTTGGGAAATTTCTATATGTATTCACTGCATACATATATAGAGCAGTTATATAAAAAGAATCATATCTGAACATAACTTGAAATTAACTACAAAAAGCTTACCTGAAACTACATAGTTGACAAGTAATGCAGACGTAATTGGGAGATTGTTTTCTTTAAACAAGTTTCTATTTAGATATCCTCATACAAATTTTACTTTGAATACATTTTCTTCCTGCAATTCACGAATACTTTTTCGAATTGAGGCGAAATAAAAGGAAAATCGAAATTTTATGTTATCATTTTGAGGTTATTTAATGTAATAAAATAAAGGAAATAAATAAAAAAGTAAAAAACGATAAAAATATTTTGTTTTTATAATTGATATTTTATGTTCAAAGTAGTTAGTTACAAGTTAGTTGACATCAAATGCAGAGGTAACCACCCTTGACTATTTCGCGAAGAAAATATACAGATAATAAATAGTGACCGTTAGTTCCTTCCTAATCAACTTCAAGTTAACTTATAGGTAGATATATTTGCCGCAGGGATACGACACCGTTGCCGTTCCAGAAGAGATACTAAAATACTGAATTCCCTGAGGCTAGCTTATACCCAATACTTAAGCCGGGCTTAGACATGGCAAGATCTTTGCCGATGATTCCAAAACTGATACAGTGACAGGATGTGGATATATGTATAGAAAGCAACGGAGCAAATTTTATATTTCCTCGTAGGAGTATGCCTCGATAAACCAAATCGAAGTATTTCAAATTCTCAAGGTCATGGACCATGTGGTGACAAATAGCTGGAGCGGAGTGTACGTGTCAGTAGGGATAGGCAGTATTTGGCAGGCCTCGAACTACTTGCAATACTACGGCAGATATGGGCGATTTCAGTGAAAAGCCTACCACGTACCGTAAAAAAAAGAAAGTAAAAGTGGTACATCTAACTTATTTATAGACCAATTTGGCTGCTTTTTATAATATATACTGGTTATGTAAGCGGAAAGATTTTTGCCGAGAATAGTCTCGTTAGGTGGCGCCAGGGTCGAGATGTTTTGAAAAGCCGTATTTATGCGCTGATTTGTTTCACATTTGGCATGTTTAGTTGAAACGTAGTAGAACATAGATTTGAAAAAAAAATGGAACGGCTGGTGTTGATGTCAAAATAAAAAGTACGTTCGACATATAATGCATGTTTTCTTCCCGCTAAAAATTCTTTCAAGAACAATATTAAAAAACGTTTTCAATGTAAATTTTAGTAACGTAACGCCAGGTAACGTCACGTCAGATAATTCAGCTGATTAAATATAAAGCGGCAAAGATTTCTACATTTAAAAACTTTGAAAATTAACCTTAAATATTTCCAATATTACTATAAAAAAAAATGAAACAAATAGTCTTGCCCAATTCGCAGAGTTTTGCAATTTTGTAATTGAAGTCAAAATCCACTTCTTTTTTTTTGTAACGTCACGCCAGCGCGTATGTTTATCTACCAATATCTTTAAATCGCTACTACCAACAGTTGTAAATTTTTCACTGAATAAGGGGCCATTTATTTGCTATGCAAATCTAAAAAAAAAAAAAACATTTTTAAAAGTTTGACTTTTTCAATTATTTTTTTTTAACGTTTTGTCATACGAGCGTCACGTAACGCCAGTTTGGAAATACCCACATGTTTTCTGTTTTAAAAATAAAACTATTTTTTGCTTAGTTTCTTTTAGTTTCTAGATTTTTTTTTGTTTTAAAAGGAAAAATATATATTTTTTAATGTCATTAAGTTTTAAGAAACGTTTTAATTCTGGTTTTCTATTTTTTAATAACATATTTTATATGTTTTAAATTTTATTTTCTTTTTGGTTTAGATTTTATTGTTTTAAAATGAAAAACAATTTTTTCATTTCATTAATCTTTTAGGATCTTTTATTTTTTTGTTTGTTTTAATTTAATTTTCTGTTAATTTTAAATTTTTTTAATTAAATAATTTTTAAGTACTGTTTCTTTTTTAATTTATTTATTTTCTTTTTCTTATTTAATTTTCTCTTGATTTTTTTATTTTATTTTTTAAAGAGAAAATATATTTTTTACACATTCATTAATGTTTAGGCAATGTGTTTTATATTTTTCTACTTTTAGTTAAATGATTAGTTTTTAGTTAAATGTTTTTATTTTCATTTAATTTTCGTTCTGGTTTTAGACTTAATTTTTTTAAAAAGAAAAATATTTGATTTAATTTTAACTTTTATGATCTTTGATGGTTTTGTCTACTTTAATTTAATTTCCTTTTAATTTTTAGATTTTCCTACTATAATTTTTACTTATAATACTATTTTCTTCTTTTTTGATTTATTTTTGCTTTTTTCTAATTTAATTTTCCTTTAATTGTGAGGTTTTATTATTTTAAAGAGATAAATTTATTTTTATCTTTTTCAATTTAATTTTCTTTTTGGTTTGAGATTTTATTGTTCCTAGAACAAAAATATTTTCATTAAATTTTAGATTTTGTTTTGAAAATAGTTATTAATATTTTTAATTTGATATTTTTTATTTTATCAATTAATTTAGGTCTTGGTTCAGATTTTATTGTTTTAAAAAGAAAAAAATATTTTTTTAATTTTATTTAAGTTTTAGAATCTTTTACTTTTCTACTTTTTTAACTTTTTTAATATAATTTTCTCTTATTTTTTAGATTTTGTTTAAATTTTTTTCTTTTATTTCATTTAATTTTTAAGTAACTAATTACTAAAAGGCGAACAGCATAACGAAAAACTTCCTTACGAAAACATCTTGCAATTACTGTTGTGAGTTGAAAAACAGTCGAGAATTGCCCTGGTAGTCAGGGTGCTGTTTTCTCCAGACGTTGCACGGTTTGACTTAGATATTGGAACGAATAAAAAGTGTTTATGAAAGTTTTACATTTAAAAGCGAACATTTAATCTCCCAGTGAAAATATCATCAGTTATACATTCATTTTTTTCTTATTTGTGCTTTAAAGCGTAAATATAGTACTAAATAATCCATCTGTATTTTATCCATTTTCATTTCCTTGTTACTTTAAGAACTAAATTATCACACATTTAAGAGAAATACTCATAGTCCTGCGGCCTTAGTTTAGTTTTCAGAATTTTTAAACTCGTTGCTTTTAATTTCCGTTTTCCTGCTTCTGTTAGCGCTGCCGAAAAAAACCATTTTATTTTATAATGGCAATTTTTTCTTTTCTTTTCCCCCAGATTGCCTACATGTTTTTTCTATTCATGTTCACCTACACCGTTCTAGTGAAGATGGGACCCACGCCACGTTGGCAGGAAGTCTATTCGATTGCGTACATTGCAACATTGGGTTTTGAGAAGATACGTGAAATTATCTCTTCAGAACCGGTGGCTATAACGTAAGTACCAAAATTTAAGGCAAACAAATGTGCTGCAGATGTATGTATGTATGTATGTATGTACAGTTTAGGACTTTTAACTTTCTATCACCAATTAGATGTGCCAATCAAGGCGACTTAAATTAAATCTATTTAACCACTTTTTGGCGTACATAAACACTTCGGCTACCTTTTTACATTTTACACTTAAAATTTTATCTCTCATTTCCATTATCGCTTACAATTTTTACACACCATTGCCGTTGCGTCGATTTTTCACGCTAAATTACATCTGCCTCATATTACTTTTACTACAAGTGTGTGTTATCGTCATTCTTTTTTAATTACACTTACATACATATGTATGTATGTAACAAACTATGTATTGCCTCTCTTTTAACCCATTAAATTTTACGCTTTCATGTGTGCTCTATTTGCCACTACAGCCATAAATTTGCGGTGTGGGCCTGGAATATGTGGAATCCTTGCGATGCAGCTGCTATTATCTTGTTCCTGATCGGTCTATCGTTACGCTTTCGGCCGAACACTATGGATATTGGGCGTGTGATTTACTGTGTAGACAGTATTTATTGGTATTTGCGAATACTAAATATATTGGGCGTTAACAAATATTTGGGTAAGTGAGAGAAAATATTTGTCTTGCGAATGCGAATAAAGGGTACCTCAGAATGAACTCGAGCTAAGTTTAAACATAGAAAGTGTCAAAAGACGCTCCTTAAAAATTATGGTAGAACTTTTTTTTTTGTAAATTTCGACAAACCACAAAATTATGCTCGACCAAGTTGTTCGAGTTTTAAAGCTCAGTTAGTCAACGACGTAGCCTAAACGTGTTGTGATTTAATTTGACATAGCTCTCAGAAGAACCATCCTATAAAAGTCAAATTGAAAAAATTTTGTATGAATTTTGAATCGATTGTTAATATTTTTTTGCCATAATAGTACCTTAAAAGAGAGCCTACCTGAGTTGTCAATCACATCTTGTTTAATACACCTTGATTGTAATAAGGACTAGCTACATGCAAGCGTTCTTTGCTACGCGACTTAACCCCTTCGATCCATTTGCTATCTGCTGCCAAATTGCTATTTGTTGCTTGTCCGAATCTGGTGAAGAGGCATCGACTCTGTTGTGTTCAACTTGGGACTGGATTTCATCTTCTCCAATGGTTACCATTCAGCTATTTGGGGAAGTGTTTAAGGCTATGTTATATGTGCATTAGGGTGGTCTAAAAAGAGAAAAAATATACCCGGTTTTTTATTGATAAATCAGAAAATATTCACTCAGAATTTTCCATATAATTTATATGAAAAAAATAACATTTTTCGTAGAAATGGTACACGACTCTAGAAAATCTTTATTTTTCGATTGTGTATCTCTGTTTTTCTTCAGGACACTTCCAATAATAATACCAAAATATGCAGCCCATAAAAAATCGCTAATATGAAACAATTTTTTAATAAACATTTCGGTATTATTCCTTGACGTCTTGTGAGTCTAGCCAAGGAGTCTATACCATTTCAACGTTAAATAGCTTTTCCCCATATACCTTTGTGCGACCTGTAAAAATTTTTTCATTTCAAAATAAAAAATGGGTACATTTTTTTGGTATAGAAAAATTCTAGGGGCGAGGGCATTAACATTCGGACTTTACTTTTTTCGAATACATTTTTGGACCACTCTAATCTTTTATATAAATAGGCGAACATGTTTTCGGCTAAACTATATGTATATACATGCACATATGTATACAGATGTTTTGTCGTCGAAGCTGAATTTTCCGACGGCAAGACCACTTTTTAGGCTCGACTGCTAACGCCGGGCGTTCAAATGCACATGCACTTCTCAACTGCCATGTAATAAAACTTTCTTAAGTTTTAATTTGATGGCACCTCAAAGTATGCTAGGCTTAGTTTAATGCATCCTCCGGACAATGGATTCTCCGTACTCACTGGCTAACCAGAATGTAGTACCATAGCCACAAGCTATTTCGCTAGCTACATCAGCTACATCAGCAATAATACACCACAACCACAGCTACATATTGTGGCCAGTTTACAGCATTTAGAATATTTTAATTTTTGACAGCTCTTGCTACATACCACGGCCTCACCATTCCAGCCAGTCAGCGTGGCTAACATCCATGCAGAGATGGTAACAGAGGGTTACCATTGGCCACGGTGACTACCCAACATTTTTGTTCGAACAAATATTTCTTTTTACATACTTGCAAACAATGATGGACTGCGGCGAGAAGCTTGTGCAGCGGATATCGCCCACCAAAAACCCAATACAGAAATTACGATGCTTTACACGGCGTTGATGTCAGTTTTAGCCTTCTCGGGCACATCAACCAGCCGAGCACAAGCGCTTTCCCATTGAGAGTCAGTACATTCACGGTGCGTTTCCTAAGTTCATAGTCCTTTAAACATTCATCGAGGTCGTTATCATCTAGCTAATTTCGGTTTGGTCACCCAGTTACTTTCCATTTGCTTTCGACAGGGAGAAATTGAGTCTTTTGCCCTTTGAATCGCAGTATCTAGTATATGCGGATTTAATGATAACTTGTCATCAAGAATAACCCCCAGATATTTGATTTTTTTGGGTCGCTTTTTCGTACTCGTCGATCTGACAAAAGCACCATACGTGGCCTTATCGCACACAAAGTACTATTTTTGAACTGTCCGGTACCTATCTCAATCCCATGCAGGTTTCCATTAGACTAAGGGGAGCATTCAGAATTTTCATTGATCAGCTTTCGCAATTTGTCCATTTTTCTTTCACTTGAGAAAGTAACTATGTTAAGCAGGGATCACACGATTTGTACATTTGTACATATTTGGCTATTTTCACCGTCACAGAGTGGTGTTGTTTGGAAAGCTTTTACTGTGCTGCTCTCATTCTCGATCAAAATTTCTAGACAACACCACCCCGTGACTGCCAAATGTACAAATGTATAAATCGTGTGATCCCCACTTAAGTCTTCTAAGGACTAACATTGATGTAGCCCGCCTTAACTGCAAAATAGGGCGGCTACATATATTCAGAGATATTAAAACGGAAATGATTTTATTTTCTAATGAATTTAGTCAACAAAGCAAAATATATACGAGTATATAAAAAATTTAGATATCATTTATGTAGTATAAAACATTATTATTTACATTTAATTTTATTACTTCATCAGTGGTGTTTACTTTTACTCACCGAAATTGTTTATTCCGCTCAATCCCCATTTCAACTTTATTTATGTCTTTTTTATGCAGGTCCTTTGGTCACAATGATGGGCAAAATGGTTAAAAACATGATTTATTTTGTAGTACTCTTGGCTGTGGTGCTAATGAGTTTTGGCGTCAGCCGTCAGGCTATACGGCATCCGGGCAACGAGCCAACATGGGGTTTAATTAAAGAGGTAAGTACTTATTTGCAGCAGCAGCTTATAAAATATTCATTTTTTTTTTCTTTGAAATTACTGCCCTTGTTTTTTTTTGGTTACGTCGTTTTTCCCCGTTTTTGTTGATTTATTGGGTTTCTGTGTAAATTTGTATTTCCTTCTTACATTTTTCAACATTTAGTTACATACTTAGATACAACACAGACAAAATGGAAAAAAATGTGGAGCGATATTTACACACGTTCAAGTGTGAAAGCGTGTAAATTTGTGTCGGTATGGATGGTTGAATAATGTGTGGTTTTCATTTAGTTTTATAGCGCAGTTTTGGGTTTGGGAAAAAAAGTTTTAATCAATTTTTAAATCGCTTCTGTGGGGGAATTGTAGGACATTAAAGAGCTCAGTGCTTCGTATCCTCGTACAGGTCGATCTTGCAAAAGCACCAAACCTGGTTTTATCGCATAAAAATTACTGAATTCCATCTGTCAAATACCGCTCTCATTCCCATGCAGCTATCTATTTGACTATTTTAGAAACGCTTTTAGCATTCATTTATAAGTAAAATTAAATAGTTTGCAAAGTCTTTTAAAATTAATTTAATTCCATTTGAAGACCTGCCAGATTAGCATTGTATTCTTCATAGAATATTCGCACTTCGTACTAGTAAATGTTTTGGTGCACGGCTTGAAGACACCCATTCTCAGTAATCAGTGAATTTACAAACTTTTAGTAAACGGCTATTTGAAAAGTGACATTTACGCCAGTTGATTGCAATCATTGAATGGAGTTCGCTCGAAAATCGTTTTGTTGTTTTGTTGTCGATGAGCGGCCAAACGGACTTCGTCGGTGGCAAATAGAGGTCATATCGAATATGGTGTTCCACAATATTTAGCCATAAGGTTATACTATACATTAAATAGAAAAAAAAGTTCTGACAAATATTAGCTAGTTTTAATTCTTTTAGCCAATATTATGTACAAAAACATTTGCTAGTACCAATGGTATGTACGAGAGGGCTTCTGCCATCGATTAATAGACTACTGTAAAATTTTGTGTATCTGACAGCCATTGACAACAGACAACCTCGTGAAATTTTACGAAAAGAAAAAAAATTAAATTTCGTGTGCTGCTAAAACATTATTTTTGCGTAAAAAATTCCTTAATGAAACCAAGGAAAGACTTGTTAAATACTATGAGGATTCTGCACCGTTGTCGTCATACCAGCAGAAGTAACTCCGAATGTCCAGGTCGCCATAAATCGTCGACAAAATTTATGAAATAATATTGGACGAAGTGCACCAGGTGGCTAAGGCTGTAGGCATCTCAACTGGGTGAATGCATCATAGACACGAAAAAGCTATGCATGTGCTTAGTGCCGCGATTGCGTACACTCGGCCGTAGAAAAAATCTATCAATTGAGGTACGAACTCCTACCCCAGATGTAGCCCCAGCCAAAGAAATGGCTAGGCGGTATGAGATTGGGGTCCTAAGAAGAGGGCATCACTGAAAAAAGCGCTTATTTTGAGGACCTTGAAAATCCTATTATTTGGAAGGAATTAAAAAATTGGAAAAAAGTTGGACTAAATGTTTTCAGCTAAAAAGAGACTATGTGGGAATATTTTGTTTCAGAAATATATGTCTGCTATGAAATCATTCAATTTTAAGCAAATGCTTTGTAGCTTCCCAAAGCTTAAAACAATTCTTTTCCCTATTACTCTTAACTCTGAATCGAATTGTTCGGACATTAAATATCCATACTAAAATGAAATGGCTTTTCTACTAACGCTCGCCGTATGTTTTCAGCCAAATCGTAAGAAAACCCGTTGGCACATATTAAATTATTGTTATTATAAGTGGCTGAATTTTAAAATTTAATGTACATTAACTCAGTACTTAAAATACACCCACTGTACTTCTTTGCAGCTATTAAGCGTACAACTTTACTCTCACTGCTTGCTCAATGAAAGCAACGTAAAATTTTATTATACAAATAAGATTATAAGTTCTTAAAGTGTTCGCCCAGCAATGAGAATCGCACTCTCGTATGAACATAAATATTTATGGATATGAAGCCACGTAGTTATATAACTTGAGCATAAGTATAGCAAACATAAATCTAGGGATCCAAAAGTTGTCCATAATACTTTTAATACGCCGGCTACCGCAGTTGGGTGGCTAAAAGTGCCTTCTTCCACTAGGTGGGACCAAGGTTCTATCCCTGCTCAGGGCAACATTCAAACACAAAACGTTTTTCTAAAGCGGCTGCCTCTCGGCATACATTGGCATACCACCGTCTGTATAATAAAAGAAACGAGTAAACGGATACAGCTCAAAAGAATACAAAGGGATGTACTACTTTAGGAGCTCAAAAGGAGTGCTCGCGCTTAAGGACATGCAATGTCAAAAATGAGTATGGTTGGTTTAAGTTGGTTTTCACCCTAGTGACTAGCAATTAGCAAGTTTGCCATTTTGATTCCACAACTCGTGCAATATACAGCCATTTGGCGGCTTTAATGAATTGCAGTACGTCAAAAATACTGACCTGCCGAGTGTCTTTGGCCTCCGCCTTGCAAGGGCTGGACACTCGCACTCGAAGTATTCGACTGTCTCTTTTAAGTCCGGGTCATCGCATGCACCTCAACGGGCCTTTAGCATGCACCTCAACGGGCCAGTGCTCTATGCACACTGTGGTAAATTTGTAGGCATCTTCTTTGCTCATTCCAAAGTAACTTAGTTTTAAATGGGTCGTAGGACACCCAGAACTACCGCGCAATCCTGTAAGATCCTGTGCAGTGCCACCTCCGCTTGGCGTTTGAGGCATAAATTGCGCAGCCGCTCCTTGCTAGTTCGCCCGCTGCCTCGTTTCCGTGAATGTCCCTATGGCCCGGGTAATTTCGTATTGATCAGAAATATAGACCAGCTGTCTCCTACTGGCATCCACTAGTTGAGATATAACAGAGATAGAAGATAGTGCCTGAATGACCGCTTGGCTAGCCGGGCAGATATTCACTTGCGTTCGCGCGAGTAAATTCTCTTTTATACACAATACTGCCTCCTTAATTGCAAACGTTTCGTCCTGGAAAATGCTTGTTTAGTCTGTTGGGCGAAAGGATAACTTTAGGTTATATTTCTCAGTGAAAACCTCTGCATCAACTCCGCATTCAATCTTTGACCCGTCCGTAAAGATTCCTTGATTCCAGCCACTGTGGCTTGGGAATTTCGAGCGGGGTTTGTGGTGAACCCAGGCATGGGCGTAGCCAGGTAGGGGCAGGGGGGTGCTCGAGCCCCCCCTAACTTTCAAATTTTCCTTATATATATATAAAATAGTACCC